TTAAATATTTTAAATATTTTTAAAAATAAAAAAATGGAAAAAGCAAAAAGCCAACTGAGCAGAAACATTCATTTCCCTCTGCTCCCTAATTCACTGAGATGTGAGCAAGCAGCCTCACAGTCCTGCTGCCATGCCCCCCCCCACTGGCATGCACCATCTGATTCCACCCACCACTGCTGCCATGTATCACCTGCTGCCATGTCTTCCCCACTATGAAGGGCTATATCCCCCCTAACTGTGAGGCAAAACAAAGCCTTCCTCTTGTAAGTTGCTTTTTCTAGGTATTTAGTTACATCAATAAGAAAGGTAGTTTAATGTAGTTTGAAAATAGTTTATATTTTTAACTATCATCACTATATCTATTTCTATCCATCTTTTGATTGCTCATTTCATTAACTTGATGACATGTCTCCTTTGCCATATTCCCCTACTAGTCTATCTACATGTTCATGTACAAGAGTGCTAGAAGAAAACTAACATATTGGGAGGATTAGCTGCTAGATCAGGAGGCAGAGAGACTGAGCAGAAAGCAAAATTATAAAAGAAGAGATGGATGAAATGACTCTTGCAAGGGTGTTTAATCTTTTGACATTGTGATATGATGGTGTCATCCACAGGTATGCTGGGCCCATTCATAATTTTCATATGTTGCCCATAAGCTAAAGGTTAGGCATGCCTGGAACTTTAAATTATTACTAAAACAAAGGAAGGAAAAGGAGGAATGGATGACAGCAACGTTTTAAGGCTTGATAATCAGAAATTCTGGGAAAGGAGCTGATTTAGGAAGCATATATTACATTTATTATTCAATATATTGATTTTGAAGTATTGATAAAATATTTAAGCAATAGTTCCAGCAAGCAGCTAGAAAAAACAGTGAAGAATTTAGAAGTAAATTATAAGTTAGAGAGATTTCACTTTGAACTTATACAGGGATTATATTGTCAAATTAGACTCACAAATTACAACTCTTGTTATCAATCTATTGATATCAAGTTCCAAAAAATCAAGACATGTAGGTAAAGCACAGGTGGTCTGGTACAATCCAATGGCTCCTAAGTCTTGTCCCATGACAGATGTGATCTTTGCCCCCAATTAAATGATGAGTAATGCAAAAATGTAAAAAAATATATATGTAGCTTTCAGGCCACTGCACTGAGTGGGAAACATGCAGGTTATGAAATAACTTTCTTTTTCAAAAGCAGATCATTTCAGGGATTTTGTGACATGGTCTTAAATGTCATAATTCACAAACCTGTAGATTCTTATCGTGTTTACATATGTATATTAGTTACTTTCCTTCTTGCAGCAATCAAACACCCAACAAGAAACAGCTTAAAGGAGAATAGGTTTTTGTGGCTCAGGGTTTGGGAAATGCAGTCCATCACGGCATGGTGGAAGGGATGGTGACAGGAACGTGAGGCAGCTGGTCATACTGCACCCAGTCAGGAGGCAGAGGGATATGAGTGCTGGCAGGGAAGTGACTTTCTCTTTTCTCCCATTTGATTCAGTCTGGACCCCCAGTCCATGGCATGGAGCCACCCACACTCCAGGCAGGTCCTCAGTTAATCCTCTCTGGGGAGGCCCTCACAGACACACCTAAAGGTGTGTCTCGCTAATGCTAGGAGAGGAGAGTGGTCCTTAATCCAATCAAGTTGGCAGTGGAAATTAACCATCACAATAAGCAATTCTGAGTAGGGATGGCTTGATAAAAGAATTCCACAGGTAAGGACTCTTGGGTCAAACCATTAAAAAATTCCAGAAGATCCACTGGCCGATGGGTTTCCAAGGAGATTAGACGGAACCACTTGCCTTTATCCAGAGATAATTCCTCTGATGAGGTCTGCCTGTCCCTGGTTATGGTCCCTTCTGAGGTGGATCATATACAAGATGCCTTAATATCTTCCTTCTATGTATAAATAAAATCTTTGGAGTGGATGAGAAACTGTAGAGCAGGATCTATAGAAATGTTTAACATAACCGTTTGAGATACAGAAAGTGAAGAAAGCCAGGAACAGGAAAGAAGAAAGAACACTGAAAAAATTAAGTGGCTGGAAGGTTTAGCTTCCTTTCCCTATCCAGTATCCTCTTTTTCCACAGAAATAAAATCAGTTTTTTTTATTTCACAGTAAAGATTGTATTTCCCACTTCCCTTGTTAAAAGGGTGACTATGTAACAATTACCTATCAGTAAAACATAGGAGGAAATAGGGAGCTATGTTCTTTACTATTCCCCTGAAAGAGGAACAATCTTTCCTTCCCAACATCCTGCTGTTTGTGATGTATAGCTGTGGTGCTGGACTCTAGCAGCCATCTCTGTTAATTAAAGTAAGGCTTGGACCAGGCAAAGGCAAGGAGAATGAGTGTATTATAATTATGTGGTGTCCATACCAACACGGACATGACCACCTCCAGTCAGATAAGAATCAACTTCCACTGAGTCTCAGCTACTTTCTGAGGAGTTCTGCTTCTAGCTCTCTGGAGAAAGTACTCTGACTGGGTGCTCAGAAAGGCTAAGTTTCAGCTAGTTATAACTACATTTTGTCCTTCACATAATCTTTCA